TGGGTCCTCTCCCGTGTTCTGGACTGGGTGGGGAGGGGCTGGCTCACCAGCTAGTTGGGCCTGAACTTTGCAGCCTTCTCATCCCACCGGGACGAGCTCTCAGCTCACAAAGGGTGCCTACTGTGGGGCAGTCGGATAGTGGTTCCTGCTCCTCTGCACCAGCAAGTGTTGTCAGCCCTGCATGAGTCGAACCCCGGAATTGTGTGGATGAAGACACTTGCCCAGAGCTACATGTGGTGGCCAGGTATGGACAGTGAGATAGAGGCCTGGGTCCAGTGCTGCCAGGCCTGCTAAGAGAGCTGGCTGGAGCGCCCCACGCACCCATGCAGTATTGGGAGTCCACCAAAAACCCTTGGTCCCAGGTGCATTTGGACTTTGCAGGACCCTTCCAAGGACAAATATTTTTTATTTTGGTGGACTCCTACACCAAATGGCTGGAGTTCATGCCTATTGCCTCCACCTCCTGTAGAGTGACAATCCGGGCCCTCAGATGAATCTTCAGCACGCATGGCCTACCCGACATGGTCGTGTTGGACAACGGGACTGCCTTCACTTCAGGGGAGTTCCAGGAATTCTTGGGCCGCTACCTCATCAGACACATCCACTCCGCTCCCTTTCACCTGGCCACCAACGGGCAAGTGGAGAGGATGGTGCTGACCACGAAGGAGTCCCTCAGGTGAATCATCCATGGGGCCTGGGACCATAGGCTTGCAGCATTCCTTTGGGACACTGGGTGATGCTGAGCGTAACCACCGGCTGCAGCCCCACTGAGCTCCTCATGGGCAGGTGCTTAACGACTGGACAGACTGCACCCGGACTGAGTCCCAGAGCATCTCCAGTCACTGGAGAGCCAGGAAGCACTCAGAGGGTTTTCCCAGCCGGCCCCATCTATGCACAGAACTTCTCTAGTGGTCCTGCCTAGGTTCCGGCCAAGGTCACCAGAGTCACTGGCCCCCTCGTATATGAGGTCTCTACTGACGGTGGACAGGTCCTGCGCAGGCACATCAACCAGCTTCACTGCCGTCTCCTGCCAGAGGTAGCCAATCCAGCCCCAGCCACCATGGAGGCCATCCACCCGGGATATCCGCTGCTGCTGCAGCTGGAGCACAGCGGGGAGGGGGACGCACCGTACACTAGGGACTGTTCTGACCGTGCGGAGTCGCGTCACACCCATACAGACTGTTCCAGAGGCCTGGGACTCTGCTCCTGCCTTGCCATCCTTCCCCAGTGCTGCTGATGAGACCCCAGACACGGCCCCAGTGGCTTCACCAACACCGTCTGAACCGAGACGCTCTCACTGGGGAAGGCGCAGGCCAGCGTACCTTGAGGACTATGTGTGTTAAGGTGCTTTGGAACTTAGGGGGAGGGGTGTTATGTATTGGGACTGGAACATTCCAGGACTGTTTCTACCAGAGACTGGCTGAGTTTAGTGCTCTAGAACAAAAGCCCACCAGGACTCTGGAGGTGAGGGGAAGGTGCAGGCCAGCGTACCTTGAGGACTATGTGTGTTAAGGTGCTTTGGAACTTAGGGGGAGGGTGGTGTTATGTATTAGGGATGGAACATTCCAGGACTGTCTATCAGAAACTGGCTGAGCTTGGGGATCCAGAACAATAGCCCACCAGGACTCTGGAGATGACCAGTGAGGAAGTCAGGGCTATTTTTAAGCAGGAACTCATTAGCATAATAGGCCACACCCAACAGCAGACACTCATGAGGATTGGCTACATTAGGGTTGTGTGGCCTAACATGCAAAGGAGTTCCTGTTACAAAAAAAGTCCTGGGTTTTGACAACAAACAAGGTAAACAGAATAAGAAGCAAAAGGTGGGTGTGGCTGGATAACCACACTTCTGATAACATGTGGG